AGGTATGGTGAGTTGTGTCATCGTCCGCGAACAGTGGCTTAGGTAGCTTACAGTGGCTTACAGTAGCGCCAATTGCCACAGTTTGATCGACCAGCCGGATTGGGCATGACCGAAAGAAATACCAGCCAATCAGAGAGCGGAGCGCTTGGAACGGTAGTTGTGCTGGGAATGCTACTTGCGGTGGGAATGCTAGTTGACATATCAACGGCAGATTGTATCCCTGGAATGCGAAGTATCATACCCGCCTGGTGCATTTTCCCATTACGGTACATTTGGCATACTGCACGAAAGAGGCTAGGCTCCCACCTTTGAAACCCTTTTGCGATGGTCAGACCTTCGGGTCCGAAGACTGTCGTCAATGCTCTCCGATAGTGTGCGTAGAAGGTCAAAGCTCAGGTCTTTCGGACCTCAGTAACGCCGGAGCCGGGGGCAGTACGACCACGAGGCTAACGAAGAGGGCAGAGGTCTCACGGCTTTCTGTGAGCCCGGAAACGATGATTCGGCAGTCTCAGCTGTGATGTCGCAATTCGTGGTCTCATGAACGAGGCAATTCCCAACCTTCCCAAGCTGGAGATCGAGCTGATAAGTGTGATGGCGGAAATCGGCATCGGTTCCTGGGAAAGGAGCAACTCGGACGTGGTCGAGGTGACCCCAATGCCCATCCTGATGAGGCGCAGGCCGTTAACGGCATGGCGCATGCCAAGGAGATTGGGGAAGACTAGGAGAACGAGGAGGACAAGAACCTCATCCTCACGATCATCAGCGCTGTGCTCTTCTTTGTTCCCATCGTCGGCGAGTTCTCGGCGGCTGCCGTGGGCCTGGTGAGGATAGCACGTATGTTTGCCGCCCTCGGAGGCATTGGCGGACTCGGAATGAGCATTACCGACATTGTCGAGGACCCGTAGCCTGCACCCTTGGCCATTGCCAGCATAATGCTCGGCGGGAAGATCAGGACGCCCAAAGAGTACGGCCTCGCAGCAGGGCTTAGGCGCGGCTTGACCTCGTCTGTGAAAGAAGGCATGGGCGATGTTTGCAAGAAGAATGATCAGTCGTTGACCAACATTGTCAGGGTCTGCCGGTGGTAGAACGGAAGGATCCACAGATGTGATTCGCAAAGCTCGAGTAGCAACATACATCAAATGAGAAAGGACCGGCATGCAACCCATTGAAACTTCCGTCGTAAACCAAACCACAGCGCCGACCAAACATACCGTTGATTCGGTTGGAGAAAGGTTGGTTCAACAGTGAAGGCTGGCGAGCACGTCTGCTTAGACGGGCCGGGACTCCGAGGTTCAACGTTGTTTGACCAAGGTACAGATGTCAGCAATGTTGATCGATTTGTCCGGCCCCGACTTTAGCTTTGAATTGAACCAATAGTCTTGACTTCGGCGTAATATGCTTACATTGGTAGGAAGAACTCATCTTGTCGCATGTGAACTATCCCGGCATCTGAGGAGTATGTATGATCGGTTTCTAGATTGATGAATCTTTCTGTGTGCATAAGGTTAGGTATCTTTTTTGACGCCGTTGTTGACTGCACTTGATGCCTCTGGTCAAGTAAAAGAGACTCGACCCTTCCACATTTGCGGCACTGGGATGGGAAACAGAGCATGTGTTGGACCGTTTTTGGGCCTCGGGCAAGATTTAAACCGCGAGACTCCGTCGGTGTCAAGACTCTCGCCTCCACTCCAGTCAGCATGATCGGGATGCATCTCAAGCGCGTGGAATGAACGACTCCGCGACTGATTCAGCTAGAGTTGTTCCTGAACCCCGCCATCTTCTGTATCCGGCCAACGGCTCGAGATTCTGGAGAATGGGACGCTTCAAAGTGCATATATAGGGGACTGCTGTAACCTAGGGACTTCCAAACCGTGTTCCCCGAGTCTTGCATTCACCTTAAGGCTATCACGGCATCCGAAGACTAGTCCCAAGACAGCATCCGCAGACAATACCGGTCACAATGAAGTTCTTCAACGTTGCCCTTCTTTTCGCTGGCCTTGCCCTGGCCGCCCCTAATCCCGCTCCCGGCACTACCGAAGGCCAAGTGCTTGTGAGTTGCTTCCGCTTGCCATGGCTATGCATTTAAGTGTGCAGACCAGTTGCTAATGCGAGCATTACAGGAGGGTAGAGCTTGCAGTAGCAGCAAGTGTAAGCCACAGAGGCCAAGGACCCGCAAACCTGGGAAACCCAACTCCAGAGGTAGAGTGACAACTAACGGGTTTTGAACGTTTAATAGCTATTTGCGTCAACCGCTGCTGTAAAGAAGTGGGTTGCAATGGGTACCTCAATTGTGGCAGGTCCTTTGTAAGTTGACTGAACAGTACTTTGTTCCTTTTTGTCAGAGAGGACCGCCTGCTGATCGTACTGATACAGTGCAACATTTTGGAACAATGCGTGTGCAAATGCCAGTACAACTAGGCAATATGTACATTGGATCATGGCACACAAGACACTTTTGGCTCACGCTTTGGATCAAGTTCATGGCGGTCTGGCGGTTGTCTTGTTCAGCAGAGGCTTCGCAATAACTCAATAATCTGAATATCAACCAGCCAACCTCCGTCTAATTATGCGAGTCACTCTATCTTGTGTTCTCTCACAATCCATGCGTCTCATTTCCTCGTGCCCTCCCTAATTATGTGCACTTAACTCCCCTCCAATACATTGCTCAATCGCCCGCTCAAATTGTACTAGAAAAGACCTGGTCGCTGATTCAGGAGATTCCTCGCTCACCAATCGCGGTGCTAACCCACCAGCCACCGTCGTCTATCATTCAGATCCGACTCAATTTTTAACTAAGGTTTAGGACTTGGAGTACGTCGGCTGTATTCTGTTTGTTTTCGTTCCCTGCTTTTCTCTCCACGCCTTTCCCCTTAAGCCTCTTTTTTTCTGTTTTCTCTCTCGTTTCTCTCTATCATGCTAAGCTCAACACGATGTGAAGTGGCAGGGGACTGATTGAACATAGCCTAAGAAACATAGGAGGATAGTGATTGAAGAGCCAACGGGTTTGCTTCCCTGTAATTGTATGTAAGTTACATTTGCTACCGCGAATTGAGCTTTTATGTTTTCTCTCCAGCGTCTATTCCCAGTCCGGGTCCCGAGAAGACACGAATAGTCTGACACCAACAACTGTCCAAGTCGTAGCAGATGCACGTGTCGTGATGATCATGCAGCCTTAGCGGCGGCCACCTTCTCAACCAGCTCGACAAAGTTGGCGATCTGAGCGCTCTTTAGGTCATGCGACCACTTCCCCCTGGAATTGTGGATACTGAACCGGCTGGCGTTGTTGGCAGGCTCGAGGGGAGGACTCGCAGCCTGGGCATAGGCGAGCGACACGGTTTCGGCCGGGTTAAGCTTTGTGTTGCCCCATGCACTGACGCCCTTGGCCAGCACGTTGAGTTTCCAATGCGTGCTGTTGGCCACCGAGCCAGACAGTACGGTGTAAGTGGCTCCGGCGTAAGCGGTGGGATATGTGCGCGCACTGTTTTCAAGGGACACAAAAGAGGGGTCAGTGGCACTGAAGGTAAAAGATGCCTCGTGTGAGCATCACGACACTGACCTCGCGCTCCGGCTCGACACAACAGTCGTGTTTCCGTTGGCCCATGCCACGGTGAGCGGGTTGTTGACCATGACGCCTCCCCACGCGATGCCTGCCCAGCCAACCGTCTTGGGGGCGGCAATCTGCAGCAGAACGTCGAAAATGCCAGCCGTAGCCGTGTCTGGAATGGCAATCCGGAATGCGATTTTCTCGGGGCTTAACCACTCGGAATAACAAATCGTCGTCTCGGGATCGCAGTACTTCGCGGCGGGAGCAGCTCCGCCTTGGGGAACGGGGCTTCCGAGGCCTAAGTTCCCAAGGATGAGTATGGCCGTGACAAGCTGGAGGAGGCCCATTGTGTTGAGAGTGGAAAGGAGGCGCAGGGCACAGTGGCGGAGGGGAACAGCGGTGAGCAGGACCCTCGGCCGGATCAGAGGAATTCATCAGCTATATACACAAGTTGAGCCGTGTTTGCTCTTATAATTGGAGAGTGTTTATCCGGTCTTGATTTGGTCCTTGCTGTCTCTCCACTGTGTACATCTATTTTGGATCTCGGAAGGGCTGAACGCGTTTCCTGTTTCCAGGCTGTGTCATTGGTAATCGAGAGGTTCCTACTGGCGGTTGGCTGAATTCCAATATCTGCAGGTCCGGTCCAATGGAAATGGTTTGATACATTGCCTCGCGGGACAAACGCGGGCAAAGCCAAATCACAAGGGCGCTTCCCACGTTTGTCATCTTTGCATTACGCCGAGGGACGGGTGATTGCGCCATTGCCCAAGCGGACTCTCGCCAACGGACTTTTGTTGATGAAGAGCCCGTACATTTACCGTACCAAAGGGACAGGGCATGGGCAAGCGAAGTGCCGGAGTTACAAGTGGAAGCGTAGATTGCCGAGTCTCAGACCCAGCCGATCATATCCCTTGCATACAGAAATTTACAAGCACACATCTAGGCTAAAGTAACTCTAGGAGCGGCTTTTGTCCGGGTAACTATGCTTGCCGAGTCCTATGTGATAATCCGAGTGGATTGTACCAGAGTCGATCTCTATGTGTTCAGCAAAGTCTGTTGCCGGCAGAACCGATAATCCCCGACTCGGCGCCCGGGGGTGCGGAGGTTCCGATCCGTCTCGTCCCTTGAGTGTGAGATAGTTTGATCTCGCCTCAGCACTCTCGCGCTTCTGCTATCACGTAGCAGTTAAACCTAAGTACCCAACTCTGAGTTGGCTTTGGTAGAGCTGATACGGTCTCTTTGTCACTCTCTTTTCACGATGGCCTGCCAGCTAATGCTTGCTATATCTGTAGCAGAATGTACGAATCACTTCCAAAATAGCAGTGAGCTGTTGGTTGGCCTCAGGGCCATGGCCCATTCCTTGGTTTGAGATTACATTACCTCAATAATCCAGAGAGCTGAGACCTAGCTGTGAAGTTTGTCGACTTGGAGTGCAAGACGCCTGACTACAATGAGAAGATAGGGAACGATAGTCAAGTGCGCTGACTGGAACAAAGAGGGCAAACAAACGACGGAGCTAGGTTAGGGATGGGTAAAAGGTAATGAGGTGCAGTCCACTAGGCTCAGGTGCCTTGAATAATAATAACCTTCCTACGGTAGTTATGTAACGTTACCTTAATAGGTAGTTTGTTTGGTCGTTACTGAGAACACCTGATCCTGCGAATGAATCTGAGTTGAAGTATACTAACTAGTCCTCTATCGTGTATTAGCCTGGAGAGATGTAGAATTGTGTGATGAAGTTGTCGACTAATAAACAAAGTACGTTAGCGATTTAGGTTCATTCCTTGTCCCGTTAAACTGACCCTCTGAAACAACCATCGATAAATCTCTTAACTCCAAACAAGTCGAGTCGCACTGAATTTGCTAAATTATGTAGTTGGCAATTTGCATCTATATCGCTATGACTGACCAATCAACGTTGGTTACCCCTTTTTTTTCCCCTAGTTAACCAGAACCTTCCTCATCTTTAATATCTTCAACACTCTATAGCTCTTTGTAGCCGGCAACGGCTAACTACTGTACTTTTAAAGGCAATAAAACTCGATTTCATCAGTTATTAGTTGTTGAAGTCTAACTAAGCAACTGGTCTAGCCTGCTCGCCCTGCCCTCTATAGCCTCCCAACGATACATTCCCAACGAACAAAGTGGTAATGCGAGGTCAAGATACGTCAGGTTAAATATTGGCCCAGTTGGAAGAGTTTAACCAGGCAGCTAGGTACTAAGATGAAAGGAGGTGGCTGGTATTGGAGGCTTAGATGCATCGTAACAGACTGTCAGCCACTGTATACCGTGGTCTGGGCAAGTTAGTCAAGTTAAGCCAAGCAAGTTGAAGCTTCGACTTGCTTGCGAGTATAGCTGTTGGACAGCAACAGTTACAGGCTCGAATAGGCATAGACCAACCAGGTGACACTGCATCAATTGAGGCACAAGATGAAGCTTGAATTGACTGTCTGAACCATGCGTGATGTGTGTGTTTTGCTTAAAGAACCGAGGGCTTCGGGGCCCTCGCCAGACCCTGCTTTTGGGTGGGTGACGAGTCTTCCACGCTTACTGCATTGGGCAACAGTGCCCAGCACCTGAATCCAGGTGCCAAGGAGCCAGTTCAGTTCAACAATAGCCGACTTGACTTGCCTTCGTTGGCTTGAACTTGGCAAGTTTTATTTGACTTGTTCGGAGTCATGTTGATGATGGTGTCGGGTGGTTTACCGTGGTGTATTTGCAATGTATGAGGAAATTACATCAGACAACTTGAGGACGTTGCCAAGGTACTCTGAAACTGGCTTTGTGACTGTTATGGGTAGTCTGCGGCTTCTCATTGAACTGCGGATAGTGTGTCAAAGGTCATGGGGATCGTCTACCGGCGGGACAACTTTTTCCGAGGCGCCGTCGAGGTCGTCCTGTTCAGGGAGCTCCGTTTGCTCAAGCACGAAGTCCGTATTCTTGTTCGCAAAGACATGACCCTGTTTGGCATCATGGACGAGACGGGGTTCCTGAAGGAGAGAGAGGTGTACGTGACATACGAGCTGGCAGACCGCCATTCTGAGCCGCCTGGCCCTGGGCGGGTCATCGTGACACGTTCGCCCGCTCTTCATCCAGGGGACGTTCAGCTTGCATGGAATGTGATCCCACCCGGCGGCCACCCTTTCACCCACCACCGCAACTGTCTCGTCTTCAGCATGTGGGGCGATAGAGACCTGCCCAGCCAACTCTCTTGAGGCGACCTTGACGGCGACTTGTACCATGTCATTTGGGACCAGGAGGTAGTTGGCACGCTCAACGCGCTTCCTTCCGCCGACTATGCCCGTATCCCGCCGCTGGAGTTGGACTGGCCAGTGGTGACGGCCAATATGGCTGCCTTCTTTGCCGACTTTATGAGGAAAGACCACCTTGGAGTAAGAGCAAAAAACTTTTTTGGTGTGTGCACTGTTAATCACTCTTTGTGGCTGTCATAAGAGCCATCCTGCTCCCGAGACAGCGCACCTTGCTCCCAGAACTCCTCCGGATATCTCGCTAATAGGAAATTCCAGGTGGTGGCAACTCGGCACATGATCTTGGCAGACCAGAGAGATGACGGGACACTTGACCCTGACTGAATCAGTCTCGCCGAGCTGCACTCGGCTGCTGTCGACTTCTCCAAGACCGGCCGCGCGGTCGAACTGTCTCGGCTGCCGTGAGCTCCGTGGTGGAGGCCCGACTTCCTTGCACAGGGGCTAGACATTACGATCCACGACAAGTCCGTTATTGCGCTGGACAAGTATACCGCCCCACAAAATAATGAGGACGGTCCGCGGTATGGATACTACACCTCGGACAAGATCTTGGGCCGGCTTTTCGCGCTGTGGATGAGCACGAATCTGGGCCAAGGACATACGGATTGTGGTTGGTTCGGGAGGCGGACCTCCCTTTCAGGACCGGTTCCTTACGGCTATCAAGGAGAGAGTGAGCGCCATTGGGCCTGTTGAATGGCAGCGTCGCTGTGAGGAGGCCCACAGAATCCGGCGTAAGTGTCTCAGCTGCGTGTCATCGTTGATGTTGTTTCTCTGACATGGGTATCGTGTCTTGGGTACGAGGATGTCCTCCACGGCGTCATGATCGACTGTGCAAAGCATCCGCACCAACCCTTGTGAGAGCTCGAAGTGTTTGTCGGCTTCATTTACCGGCGTGCAGTCGAGCCGCTAGCGAGATCGCTCGGTCAAGCTGAGAAACCAGTTCGATTGCATCACGGCCTGGATCACCAAGGAGATGCGGAATCCGAGCTCCGTGAGCGGTCACACCAGGGAACTGGACGCGATCGAGCTTTGCCTTGCTTGTCTCTCTGCTGGATGCGTGAAGGGGTACAGAGTGATGCGTCCCGGCTATCGAAGCTCCTCGTGAGACCTCGAAAGCTTCAAGATAATGGCGGCCGCAGCGCTGGCGCGGGAACTGAGCCTCCTTGAAAAGGGCATGGCTGGTCAGGCGTATGCGTATGGGGGGGCTACTTTGGAGTCAGCGGCCAGCCCATCAACACTGCGAGCAACGTGCTGCTTAGCCAGGCTGAGCCGCCGCAAACCTGACGACGCTGCTCCTGGTGCTCCCGACCCGAAACCGGGTGGGCCCATTCGGCTTTCAAAAGCTCCGGCAAGGACGATTCACTAATCGGAGTTGTTGGAGTGAGGTACTAGGAAGTCTCGGGGTGATAAGAACGAAAGACTATCAAGATGATGAGGCGACGTTTGATGATGTAGGAGTTTAAAGGACCTTCATCTGTCCACGGGGTACTGTCACACTACTAGCCATCCATGGACACGAATTTGCTATTCGGAGCTTGGCGGTTGGCAACAGACTTGGTGAACGAGACTTGGGACGCGCTCCTGGCTTGGGAGGAGTCGCATAACCCCAAGGTCGCCGGCTTCGGGTTGGCTAATTCGAGCTTTTGAAGCTCTCCTGCCTGGTCGCGCCTCCAAGATCGCCTTCGAGTCAGATCCAAGCATTTATCGCATGATTACACCACCTCCTGCGGCGATGACCACAGGCTTATGTATTCGATCAAAGACATTGTTCAGAGGACAGGCAGCATTGCGGGTTGCACGCAAGTACCGGGATGCAGTACGATATCTGTTTTCCTGATTTCTTTACTTATCCTGCGTCGTAGGTACTGATTTATCTACACTGTTGAAGTTTCCACCTGAGCCAGCCAGCCCAAAAAAAAAAAGGGTATCTGCTGGAACACACGACCGCTGGTGGCCCGTTGACGCCTAACGCCTAGCGAGTATCATACGTTGAAACATAATACGCAGAATGACTAGACATTAAGCATGACATCGGCGTTCCCTCTAATCTTTCTTGTTTGGGCCGACACCGTGCCCGCCTGGGACAGGATCCACGCCGACGCTCTCGGTGGGGGGCCCACGGTAGTGTTTGCGGCCCCAGACAGCATACCACACCAGGGCGATGAGGACGAAGCCGACGAACACAACAGGCGCATAGTTGACGCTTGCGGCTGTGACGGGGATGTAAGCGGGCATACAGAATAGGGGGACGGCGAGGATCGACCAGCCTGGAAGCGACCGTTAGCAGGGAGGTCCACGTCATAACCAGAATGCACAAGGAGACAAGGTAGATCACGGAACATACCTATGGCGATGCCGTTACACAGCCAGCCAAGCTTGCCCAGCGAGAACTTGGCGCCCTTGACGTGGGCGCGCCCCTCGAGCATGGACACGGCAATGGGCGCGGCATACGACACGGTCAGCGAGATGACGCCGACGCCCGAGAAGGCGTTGAAGGCGGTGTAGGAGCCAAAGTAGATGAGGCCTAGCACGATTTGGATGGCGGTGGAGAGCATCATGGCGTTGAGGGGCAGGTCCAGCTTGGGATGCACTTGCTTCCACCACTTGGAACCCGGGATGGCGCCGTCCCGGGCAAAGGCCCAGGTGCAGCGCGAGGCGGCCGTGGAGCAGGCGACGCCGCAGAGGATGGCCAGCACCATGAGGGGCATGAGCAGGGCAATAGCACCGCCCGACGAGCCCACGGCCGACTTGATGATGGTGGGCAGTGGCTGGCCCGAGCTCAGGCTGACCAGCATGGCGAGGTCGGGCAGGACGAACATGAGCGGCACCAGGAAGAGCAGGCCGCCAATCGTGTTGATGACGATGGTGACGACCATGGCTTTGGGCACCTGGGTGGACGGCCGCCGGACCTCTTCGCACATGGAGATGACCATGCCGGTCGACGACGTGGCGTAGGCGGCGTGCAGCAGCCCGACACAAAAGGCCCACCCGGCAGGCCATCCGGACGTGGGCTCGAAGTGGCCGAGGGCAAACGAGGCACTGCGCCGGCCCTCCTTGGCAAGGACCAAGACGGTGATGAGTATGGCGAAGAGACCGGTAAAAGTCCAGAAAATGGCAAACGTCTAGGGTGTTCATTCCGTGTCAGTGTCGATGAATCTTGAGTAAGGCAGAGGAAGGCTTACATCCAGAATGGGCAGCCATCGGTTGCCAAAAATGGAGATGGAGGTGCAGAGCAGGGTGATGGCGAGGAATGTAAGGAACACCTGGTAGGTCTCGGCGGCCCAGACGCCCACGCCAGGCTCCGTTTCAAAGACGTTGACACAGGCGACGAAGAAGAGAGTCGTGCCGAACTGCACCGCCAGGGTAATGGTGATGTTGCCGACAACGTAGGCCCAGCCGCAAATGTAGGCGGCAGCCCTACGGAACTTGGACGGGGCCAGCATGAAGGTCTGGTAGTAGACGCCGCCAGCAGTCGGGTAGACGGACGTGATCTCGCCCAGAGACGCGGCGACGCATAGGATGATGAGACTAACGAGCAGCCAGCCCCAGACCACGACGACGGGCCCGCCGCCCTGCAGCGGATAGTAGAGTGTCGTGGCCAGGCCGTAGGGTATGGACGCCAGGACGAAGGACATAAAGGCCACATGCCAGGTCGACCGGTTTCGCTTTAACTCGGCCGTGTAACCCATTGCGTTCAGCAACTCATCGCCATCCGTGTCTGAGCCGCGTCCGGCAACAACGGGCAATTCGGGCGCGCTGCCCAGGGCAGCTTCATGTTCGGGATAGGCGCTCATGGCGGGGAACCAGGACTGTGAATGCTGTTCAAGTTGCCTGTGAAACCACGGATACAGCGGCGAGTTAGTGGACGAATGTGACGATCCCCTTCTGATCCCGGCTTTGGCGTTGAGGGCTGGGTTCCTCCGAATTTTGAGGTTCGGTTGTTGGGCGAGGAAAAAAGCTTCTTTTGCGCAGAACACGCCCGAAGGCAAGCGAGCTGCAGTTCCCCACTCAATTAGCAATGCCCGCTGATAACAGGTTCCTAGGTTCCATTGGAGCAAGGGTAAGAGCGGATTCCCAACTGACGTTAGGATGGGAAGCTGTTGCCTTATTGGGCTCTGGTGTGGAGCCCTCGCCGACTGTGAAAATACACATGAGAATCGTTGCTGAACCAAGAAAAAAATATATATTTCCATATTGAACATATTCCCTGATATCTTGCTCCAGTCAGAAACCAGCCTGAGAACACCTCTGGTTCTCCAGACTAGAAAAGATGGGGCAATGGCTGGCCCAAACAAGGGCTCGCAGTCGAGTTTCGAAGCACGTGCGAATAGGCCAGTCTCTATGCGTGCCCTGGTCATCCGTGCGCAGGTCGGCCCCTGATTGGAGCAACCGAGGCAATTCGTCAGCCAAGAAACGCCAATTTCTTGACTTCGCAGCAAAGTGTGGGGGCATATCATTGTCACATGTGTGGCCTTGGGCGTGGATGCAACTCCGCCTCAAAATCACACCACGCCTCTCAATATGCCATTTGAAACCACTTGGCACAAAAATATAACTTGTTATGGCATTGCATTGATTGCTGACGACAAAAGGACTAGGCCCTGACAAAGATAAAGAATACCCTATGAGGTTCTAAGGTCAGAATCTGGGTCGTGTGCTCGGATGTCTGGTCACACAATACGTGTGACTGGACTGGTAGTAGAACAGCCTGAGATCCCCAGCTTCCTCTCAAAATGCATAGACCAAAGGGACAATGCACTGCTGATACTTCTTAGCAGTGATGCCGCCGTACTCCTTCTCCCTGAAAAAGGAAGGACCGTTAATCTCTCCTGCAGTAAGGCCCCCGGAACATGCAGCCATAGAGCTTGGTTCTGATTAGCGCCTTATTCCTTACTACGATGAAATACGGCATTTCCAGCAAGATTACGCTAAGATTCACGTCTACAAGTCGACCTAGGAGTAGCTCCAAGTATGGGGGAATCTCATAGATCGAATGGCCTATATATATTATTATTCCTACACTCGCTGTGCCCTAGGGCGTGTCGGACCTTCAACAACTTACTATACAGGAAAACCGCCCCCTCATGGGCCGGGTGAAAAACCCATATCGACAATCAAGGAAACGATCAGTGTGCGATCCTGCAAATACAAAGTGGGAAGGCCTCTTGGCCTTCGAAGGAAAGGGTATCAGACTGCGAGCTCCAGCTCCAGCCTCCTGGCCAGACCGTACATCGGCAGTTTCCCCGAGTCCATCAGCCAGTCCAGGATCCTCCCGTTAGCCGTGCAGCT